TTCTCGGTCCACATCTATGTGGGTCCTTCCTTCCATCCATCCTTCCATCTATATAGCTGACCTGCTCTGTCTTGAGGTCCTGTCCGAGTCATTTTATTACTTTGAGCATTTTTGAGCATTTGGGCAAATACTTTTCATGCATTTTTAAATTGAAGCAATTATGAAGCAACTGGCTTAGTAAAGACATTTTTGTCTCCTTTAATTGGCAGCCGAGCTGCAGTTTTGAGCTGAATTTTGCTAGTTTTATGTAAGAGGCGACTGGATTGTAAAATCTTCATCTTCATCTGGCCAAAAAGTTGTGCACAGAAATTCATTTAACAATTTGTGGTTTCGCACACTAATTGTTTGTCGAAAAAAGCGGCAAGAACGAAAGAAACGAAATAAAACCTGAAAAGTGTATACAGTTGAGGTGTCCAAGCAAACCGATAAATTGGTTGGCAATTATAAGCCAAATATTTGCATATCTCAAATGCTCTTATTCCCAATTCAAATGGAATTAGAGAGACTTCTGGTATCATTATTGGCCTAAGGTTAAATGTGCAATGCGAATTTAAAGTGCTTGCATTTTTATGGCAAAAAAGAAAATGAATTTCCAAGATTAAAATCTATGATCTACACATAATAATAGATTTAAAAACCATAGAATAAAATACCTGTATTTTGGCAACTGTTTAAAATTATTTGAAAGCGATATTTGATTTTTAAAATATTCCCAATTGTGTAAGCATGCTCTGCGAATTCAAGACCAGCTTACAAGGTCAAAGGGCGTGTGCGGGGTGGAAAACTTCAGACAATTCAAACACAAAACGCTTTGTGCATTCATTCCACTAAACTCTTTCTACAAGTGCTAGGCGCAGACTTTTGAGCACAAAAGCATCGGAAAAATGTCAGAGTTACTAGCAAAGTCAAATAAAGCAACGTTGGAAGCCCCGAAAAGTGCGCTTTAAGTTTTAAATTACTTGGAGGTATTAGCGTTTAACTATTCGTGACTTTCGGAACTTGTTTTTGTGGTGTAACTTTTTTCGCCAAGTTAAAGTGTAAAAGTTGGGCTAATCCCAGCTTAGCTAATAAGCTACGCGAAGCTGCAAAAATTATACAATGCGAAAACTTATCACAAAAGCTTCTTATTTTGATGCTCAATTGAATAAAATGTGAAATTTTAAAATATTCCTCTGTTTATTTTGACCTGCAGCTGATCATATACATTTTTAGCCAAATATTCCTGTTTAAATGGTTTTAATTAATATTTTGGTTATACAAATAGTTACTAAAATAGATATAATACACTGAATTATCCATATCTTTATTTGCTAATTTGCTCGGTCATTCTGTAAAATACTTAATTGCACAAGCCCCATTTACAGTGACCACTTTTTATGTTTCGTTAATTTGTAATAAATTACGAGAGTTGATTTAGATTATTTTAGCGAAGCTTTTATCTAATGTGCACTCAACGAATGGCCCATAATACTATATTATGACTATTTCCGATTTAGCCAGGCCACATATGTAAACACACCCACAAAAACACACGTAATCGCGTGAAAATAAACACACTCATGGAATAAAATCTGTTAATGACAATAAAGTGTAAAAACATAAAAGGCTGTAATTGTCGAGTGCATGGAAATGAAATTTGTAAAACACCAACAACCACAGCAGATGACCATTTTAAGCCCCACACCACAACATCTCCTTCGACATCCCATCTTATGCAATGTTGATATTGTATAATTTGTACAATGTGTCGCCTGTAGACCAACCGTTAGTTATGTTTGTTAATTTCCATGTTGTAAATAAATAATTAAATTACTTTGCAGGGAAATGCATCATAATGGGCCCGACACCGGAAAGAGACCCAATAAAATACACAACACAGATATTAAGTTGTTTTTAATGTGCATGGAATGTTGTCATCCTGTGGATCTCTCTCGTATGGATCTCTGTGGGGTCTGGGAATTATTCGAGACTGGCTGGCAATCATTGGGGCCAGGCCATCATCGTTCTGCCAACAAAATCGAATTACTTCCGTATGTTGTGGCAATGTACTCGCACTTGCATATATATCCCCAATTCAGGCCGCACAACAGCAGCTCCATCTCGACACTTCACTTGTCCTTGTCAACCGTTACAGGCCGCCCTTTGCCCTCCTTTTTAAGCCCATTTTCCTCCCATACTTTTCCGGGCTTCCCCGGTTTTTACCACCGCACATCCCCCACACTCCCCAACTTGTTGGACTTTTGTAACGGTTCGTCTGGATGTGTTGTTCATCAGGCTGCAGCCTGCAGTTCGGCTTACACACAATTTACAAAATAACCTCAACTCACACACTCAATCCTCATACCGATCCATCCCCTTCCCCCTCAAAACTCCGCCACTGCAGCGCACAGGCGGAGGCCCTTCAGCCAGTCACTCAGTCAGTCAGTTGGGCTGGGAGAGTGTGTAAATTGTCTTGTGTAAATATGCAAATTTTTCTTATTTTCATACCCTAGATGAGGGTCTCATAATTTCAACAAGAACTTTAGAAGGCCCTCCAAGGAAATGCAGTTCAACTTCTCTGGCATAAATAAAGTTACTCAGTGGTTACACTTTGAAAAGGATTTTTTTGGAAGTAGAATTAGGAAATGGTAGCTACCAAAGGTAATGGAAGGAAAACAAATATTCTTAAAATAAAAGAATACTAAGTGTGAGCTTCAACCTTTTCTGACTAACTTATATTTTGAGGGGATTATAGTTCTAACAGAATTTTTTAAATCACTATATATCTCGCATTTTTAAGATGGTTCAGGTAGAGTTTTTTGAGATCTTTAAATAAAGAAATGTCCTCGATTTATACCCATCTCAGATATAATATCAAGTGTAGTTAAAATATATTTTAAAAATCTCTTCTTATTCTTTTCATACACACATTTTTCCTTTTATCCCGCCAATCTCAATTATTTCTTTAGCCTATGACTGGAATTCCATAAATATAATTATAAGATATAATAAAATAACTTTTTGAAAGGTTTGAGATCTTAAATATTCGCAATTTTTTGACAAACCATTCGATTCAAAGCACTATTTCCTAAAGGGTACTAAAAACATCGACTTCATATAGTACATCCTGTCAATCCTGTTTTTATTGTCAACGTTGTTGTTATTGTTTGTGTGTGGATCAGGGGCGCAGTGGGCGGGACGTTGGCAGTTCGTGTAAACAAACCAAGGCGTCGGATTAAAAAGTTTTGCATTACAAAGAGTTTTTCGGTGGCAGGGTGACGGGGACGAAGGACAGCAGGACGAGAGCTTGGGAAAATGTTTTGATTATTTAACTGCAAGTTACGATAAAACTAATTGCAATTACAAGCGGACTCTCTCTTTATGGCCTCTAATGAAATTGCCAATGCCAAGGCTGACGATTCAGCACAACTCAAATCAAACTCGGACGCAAACTTCGAATTGCAATTTTATTGGCTCGGTTCAATTCAAATGGTTTTGCTTTCTTTGTTGGCCCCTGCATAAATTTTCCTCGGGCAATATTGATTTCCATTACAAATCCAATATTAAACTATGCCCCTGAGAGCGATTACTCGATTTCTACCATTTGCTTACTTACTTAAACCTTTTGTAACTCATCGAAATTGAGGACACAGCTAGGGAACACACGCCGCACACAGATATGTGGTTATTACAAAGGATCATTAAGAAAATAGATATCTTTCCCATTGGAATTGTCTTTTAATCTATGAAAATATTGACTGCACATTTCGGGCTCATAATTTATGAAAATATTTTGGGGTCCCTTAGAACGAAGTGCACTAAATTTATGCTTGCCTGGGGATGTAATTCAAATATATTATTCAATTTAAATTGGTAACATGGCCATCTAAATAAAGATTTTTGCTTCTATTTTTTGCGACTTCTTTATGATGTCTTTCCATTTAAGATATATTATTTTTCAAGTAAACTAACATTTTAAAACTTTAATTCTCATTATGAAACGAATAGATTTTGTATTTGAAAATCCAACTTCTGTTGTTTTTTTACTTCTCTCCGAAGTTTTATATAAAAAATGTTTAATATAAGATTTTTCTTAAGTATTATATATTTGATAATGATTAAAGGATAGTTTAACACTTAATATAAGTCAATTGTTAAAATCTTTTTTTTTATTTCAGATACACTAATCAATACTATCAGGATTTTGAAAGAAACCGGTACAACAAAAAGTGTATTGAAAATTTACAAGATTTTGTTGAATATTTATTCAAAGCAAGACCATTTTCTTCACCTTAATATTTCCTAAAAACACTTGAAAAAACATAAAAGAATTTTTATTGGATTTCACCAAAAAAATAAGTAAGAAGTTTCAGTTAAAATAATTTGTTAAGTTACATTATTATTGTTATTATATAATATAAATTAAATGTGTTATTATGAATATTAGCAATACATTGTATTTTTATGTATTATGTCCAAAAACTAACGCCAAAAAGGGTTTTTTTTGGCGGGTAAGGAATTTTTCAAATATTAATCGGATAAAAATAACTATTTTGTTTCAAAATGTCGTTAAATTTTTTATGTTATTTTTTAAGTCAAAAACTTGATATATTCTGATGGATCAGGACATTTTCATGTATTTTGATCGACTGGTACATAATTATCTTGCAAGAAGTTTTCAAATATTTTAATGGTAACTAAAGTCTTTTTAAGTATTTTTTTTAAAAATGATATATATTATTTAAGGCGTTTATTTGGTTAAGCTAATTTATTCAAATTTTCGACTCAAATACATTAAGTTCAATTTTAAATTACGCTTTTAATTATTTATTTTAAAGGCAAAAATCGAAAGTATAATGTTTTTTAAAAAGCAATTTTCCCCTGTGCATTTTACATATTCCCCAAAACCACTTAATACAATTTTACCCACATAAAATCTGTTCTCAGAAAAACATATTACAAGCACTTCGGGTAACTATGCAGCAAAAGCTGGCTCTTAGTGGCTGGGAACACAGACTCACCTGCTTTTATTTGACCTTATGCGGCTGCAACTTGTTGACTTTAATGAAAATGCACTCAGAAGCTGGCAAGCTGGCTGGCACACACACAAAACGCTGGCACAACAAGTTAATATGTATTAGCTAGTCGCTAGTATGTCTCTAGTATATTGGCTTAAAACTCGGCACTCGGTGAGACACCAACAGAAAAAAAAGGACAAACAAAATCGGGCGGCACTCACACACAAACAAACGCGCAGTTAGAAAATCAAGCGCCAAAGGACCGACTCAAAACTTGGCTAACATGTCTGGCTAATTAGCGGTAGCGTTTCTAGCGCCCTGTTTTTTACAGCGTCCTATCATCTATGTAAGCGCTGAATGTAAAACGCTTTACAGGACTTTTACTCAGTGTCTGGTTTGGATTGCAATGTTGTGGCAGGCTTGTACGGTCGATTTCGCTGTCGCTGTCCTTCGAAGGGCTTGTGTGAGCTGTGCGTCCTTGCTGAAGGAGCCGCCGCGTCCAACTGACTGCTGCTGGATGTGCAAGCTGCGATTGTTGCAACGACTGCCGCGCGGCAGCAGCAGCAGCAAAACGCAGCAGCGGCAGCAAAAGCAGCAGCAACACATAAACGCAGTACATGGGGGGCGGTGGAATACATATACACTCGTTGCTGCCGAAGTTCCTTGCAGTCGAAGGGTTGTGTAGTTGCACTTGTAGTAGTTGCTCGTGTTGCAACACACACAGCAGCAGCAGCAACAGCAACAGCTACAGCAGCAACACGACGTCAACTTCGGCCCACATTGTGCAATTGGCTTAGTTTCCAGTCAACAACTAGCCGCCTTACAGTGCCCGTTTACAGCGGAGAGAAATGCTTTCTCTCTCTCTGTCTAAATGTATTTCCCCGTCTCTTTCTCTGACGCTTTCTCTCCGACGCCTTCGCCGAACAGCTGTTCGCGTTTTGCCGGCTCTTATCAGTGAAATGCTAACAGCTCTCTGTTAGCGTGCAAATGCACTCTATGTTCTCGTCTTTCGGCCGTGGCTTTTATTTTATTTGGCTTTGCCCTGCCTTTCCTTCATTTCCTTTCGCTGGGGTTTGATTTATTATGTAAAAGTACAAGGACAAGTGCCATATACAGTGAGGACTTCCTAATTCGGCGACATACTTAGGGTGATTTATGATCTAACAAATTAGAATTTTACTTAAAGAGTTATTGTTTAGTTTCATATACTTATATAACTGGCTTTGAGAAAATTGATATTACTGTTTTTTTTTTGCTCTTTTGGTAATACAACTTATTGGAGTCTAGACTTAAAAGTAAAAGTATTAAAAAATATATGTACAAAGAGATTAAAAAAAATATTTGTAATATTTTGAAAAAATTTATAATTATATCATTTTAATAATTTCAAAATATTCTATATTTAAAGAGAGGAGATTTTTAATTTACAATTTTCTTTACCATGACAACGGTATAATATCTTAATAAATTTCTAATATACCTACCCAACAGTAATATTTTCGATTACTGAGAGATCACTGTACACAAGGAGCTGCGTGTGCGTGCCAAGTGTTGGACAAACAAGCTGAGCACTAAAGCCGGAATACATTTGAGACACTTGCAATCGACTTAATTCGAGGGGAAAAGGGGAAACCGATAAGGCCTCATAGCCTCCGGGGATGACAGGCATCATGAAAATGGATGACCACAAAATGCAAATGGCGATTACCATCTAACTATCTAATTGCCTGATTAAAACACCTTGAGATCGCAAAATAGTCGGCCATTAATCACGCAAAGTAAATCCCCCATATCGTGCTTATTGGGCGGAGGATAAAATCTATTAATAGAAAAGGCGAGTGGAAAGTTTTCCATCAAGTTTTTAATTTTCAGTTGCCAACCGGCGTGGATAGCAGAGCCCTGTTAAAGGACCTCTGTTAACGGGGCCGGCACGTGTTTCTCTCTCACACGCACACAATCAAGCGGTCTTTTTGATTCTGTTTTGATTAATAGCTTCGTTGCAAGCTTATCAGGCCCCCACACACACACAAACGCACGCAGCCAGGAAGTGCAACAATGTCACGTGGCCGGCATTTCCCGAAGTCTCTAGCAAGGACTCTCTCTCATCTGCTCTTCTACCGAGTGGCCCCCATTTTCTCTCTCTGTAAGGCCTGCGCTGTTTACAGCAGTTAACTTTTTTTTCACCGCCCTGCAATCGAACATGTTGCCACTACCCGTCTCGCTTTCACATTTCCCCAACTTTCCCCAAGACAACAACAAATAGAGGAAAATAAACAAAAACACAAATAGTGCAAGCAACAAAAAATCGAGTATTACATAAGTCGGGTGCTCCACCTACGCGAGTTGTTGGTGGATATAATTCTGGCCCTATGTGATTGTCCTATATGAAAGATCGGGTATTTTTGGTCGGTTCCTCGCTTTTGGCGAATGAAAAGTGCGAAATTCGATTGTTCGTTTTAATTGCCAAGCGTCTGATTTAACTGGAATTCAGTGCAGCACGCATTTTGGGGTCGTCCGATAGTCAGGGGAATCACCGATTTGGAATTAGCCAGCAATGAAGCGTAATCAAAATATTATTTATTAATTTTTGATTGCCGTTCATCCAGCTTTGACCTCTTTTTTAAAATTTGTTATTCAGAACAGGATAAAAATACATTTTAAGATGCCAGAACAGGATTAAAATACATTTCAAATACAGTAAAAAATAAAAAACTATTCAAAATTCGAAAGCTTTTTAAAGAATACAATATTTTCAGTTTTGTAAGCATTTAAATAAGGTAAGCTCTGTGGTCTAATCTAAATTGGAAAATGCAAGCTTATAGTTTTATGAATATCAATTGCAAAAACCGTTTGTTCCCAAATAAATTTCATAAAAATCTTGTCATAAAGTTTGTTTTAGTTTTAAAAAGGGAACAAAAAAAGTATAATAATTCCTTCATAGTGAATTTTGCTTTTCAATAACTATATTTTTCGCACCTTTAAAACAATAACTTCGTTATTTATATAATATTTTTTTATTGTTTTCCTATGGCATTTAGATGTATATAATATTTTTGGCCTATGTCTATCCTCTATTGTAAACTATATGTAGGTTTTAATCACAAAATCTTTAAAAAACTCAAAAACAACAGTGCAACAATTTGTTTCGATTGGTTGTTCTATCTTTATTCTATGGCAGCTAAATCACTGTACTATAAACTACCTGTAATAGGAAGAAGACTTTTTTAAAAGCAGATAGCTCTAGAACTGAGAGACTTGTTTGCGTAGAAAGGGGCAGACAAAACGGCTACCATATATTGAAATTCTAAAAAAAAATAAAAAAAAAAACAGTTAAGAACTTGATACAATATAACAATAACTCTAACTATTATAACTAATCGAGATCTCAGTATCTTCTTGTATTTCTATTTATCAGAACTCTTATCGAATAAATACAACTCTCAGCTTGATGTAATTACAATAACTTTATTAAATATTGAAAAATTTTAATTATTGTTAATTTCTAACCTTATTTTAAACCAAAAAATTTCAAAAGTAAAATGACTATAGAAACTTTGTTTTGCATTGCATCCAATAAGTTATACATAAATTAATTTAAAACGAATTTGCGTAGAAATTGATATTATTTGTTTTTATAAAATATAGCTAAAGAGCAGAGATATTTTAGGAAACTTTAAAGTCTCAAAAATAGTGAACAAATTTGGGTTGCAACTGTGCAAACTCCTCCCCTTGCAACATGTTGCAGCGTAATCGCTTCCCCTGTTTGCTGTGTTGTTGCACTAGGGGTTTTTGGGGGTTTCAGCGTGGTCTGTTGATGGTATGGGCTCCCTACAGATTTTGCATTTACTCCGCTGCCTTTTTGGCCATTGCCAGGACTCTTGTTGCAGTACGCAGTACATGTCACCTACATACACGCACACACAGCTGCACGGCACACACACACACACACACCGATGGCACACATGCGTGGCTCGTTTACATAGGCGCCGGCCAACCAACGGCGTTCGTCCATGTCGCCTACACATTGGCGGGTGGCCTTGCGGGGGGCGGCAGTGGGTCGGTGGGCGCGGAGGGTTCGACACTCTCATTCGTCGGCGGCAACTCAAGGACCCCCCCATCCCCCCAAACCCGCCCCTCTTTCGGGCCATACAATGTTGCTCGTTTGGGTCTCGTGATCTCGGCTTTCGTAACCGAAATGCGAAATATAGTGAAGGGGGGCGCCGAAGGGGCGTGGCATTCAGCATTCGAGTCGTCGCGACAAATGCGTAAAGTTTACAAAAAAATATCCTTGCAACAAACTGCATTTAAATATCCCGCTCTTTGATTTCATCTGGTTTTCCTTTTTTTATTTATTTTCCTCTGCTGTTTGCTCTTGTTTCCTCTTGCCATATTTTTATTGTATCGCTCCAAGCCATTTATCGGTCTCTTTGCTTGGCATAAATTTTAATCTTAATTAAATGACATTTTAATAGCATTTTAAATGGTAGAAAAAGCAGGACGTCGAAATGCGAGGGTTTCAGGTAATCTAACCACATTATTCCAGTAAAATAAGTTTTAACCTGGTTATTTTAGCTTACGGCCAAGTAAATTAACTTTTTAGAATCTTCTATACATTTTAATATTTCAATGTTTATCTTTTTAATAAAAACTGAATTATTGTTTCCTTTATTGGGCTGCCTTTTATTCCTGTTCCACTCTCCTGATTTTATGTTTACAACAACGATTCTAAACACACTTTCCTGTTAAAATTCTCTAAGATCCTATGCAAACCTTATTGATCCTAGCTTAAATAAATTATCTACGGACACAAATTAAATTGAAAAAACCTTGTTTAGTGCTTTTTAAATTTACGCATGATAAAGAGTGTATCTTTCAAAAAACTTTAACATCGAATCAAACCATAATTTCACTTGCATCTGAGAGCTTCGGAAAGTTGGCCAATTTCAGCATTTTTCGAACTTTGAGGTCCTTTTGCTAAGAATGCTTGCATCAGGGAACTTTTTGGAAAACGCAATTTAACTTGGGAATACGTAACGAATTCAAAAATATAGGATCCATCGAGGTAAATTTTTGATGTTGCATAGTCTTATCACTCCGTAAGAACAGAATTTCACGAACTTGACAATAAGCATGGTAAACACATATATTTCGGTTACCTT